TGACCTTGCTCGACTCAGAGTCAAGGTTAGGTCATGGTCAAATCCAAAAAATGCATTGAATGAATCCGAATTTAAGGTTTATCTGATCAATAACCCCCTAATATTTTTATGGCAACGTTTTCAACCCCCTAATAACCCTCTAATAAACCCCGTAATATGAACTGTGCTATGAACCCCTTAATCACCCAATGACGATGCTATAAACCCCCAATAACGTAATAACAGTGCTATCAACCCCCGAATAAACCCCTAATCACGCCCTAATATGAACTATGTTATGAACCCCCTAAAACCCCAATGGCAATGCTATGGCCCCTTGAAACAAATGGCAATCCTATCAACCCGAACCCCCTAATAACTCACCCCCCCTAATAACTCCCTAATATGAACTATGCTAATAACCCCCTTAATGGCGCAATGGAAATGCTAAAACGCCCCTAATGAATCCATGGCAATCCTATCAGCCCCCTAATAAGCCCCCTATAAATTTTCCCCTAATAACCCTCTAATATAAACTAAGCAAATAAACCCATAATAACGCATTAACATTGCTAGAAACCCCCTAATTAACCAATAGCAATGCTATCAACCACATTATGTCAGATGCTTCAATGTTATCAATTTATTCAATTGTGGAATCGTTTCCTTTTTTCGTCTATGCTTCTGGTTCCTGACTTTCTCTTATGCTGTAGTCCATCATCTTTACGTTTCAGAGCCCATTAGTAGTTAGCTAACATATTAACATTCCATCTACCTTGATACCTTCTTTCCATCTCTTGGAATTCTTGATGGAATCTTTCTCCTTGCTCCTAACTTAGATCTTCAAGATTCTCAAGAAAAGAATTTAAATGAGAATTCAGGAAGTGTACTTTTTAACACAAGTTAGAACCAAACTCTTTGAAACTGGTAAGCATATTTTGAACGACTATGTGATAATTTTCGACTTTTCTATTTCCCAAAAATCCTTCTACAACCGCTGTAAAATTCACCCATGCAGCCTTCTCTTTTCTTGTCATTGTTTCTTGAAAATCAGCCGATTTCATCATCTTTCTTATATTTGGACCTATGAAAATACCTTTCTTGATTTTTGCATTAGATAATTCTCGGAATTTATTCAATAAGTAGTGGAAGCATTTTCCATTCTGATCAAGGGCTTTAACGAATTGCTTAATTAATCCTAATTTTATGTGAAGGGGAGGTAAAATTTTTTTTTTGAATCACACAATGTTCTCAAAAAACCCTTGTGGGATCCTTGGGGAACTTTATAGAGGGGCTTATTAGGAGGTTGATAGGCTTGCCATTGACTCATTAGGTGCGTTATAGCATTGCCATTGCGCTATTAAGGGGCTCATAGAACCGTTTATATTAGGGGGTTACTACGGGGGTGATATCACTGCCATTGCGTCATCAGGGGGTTATTATTATAGTTCATATTAGGGGGTTATTAGGGGGGGGTGAGTTATTAGGGGGTGAGTTATTAGGGAGTTGATAGGATTGCCATTGGGTTCTAGGGGGCCGTAGCATTGCCATTAGGGTTCTAGGGTGTGCATAACATAGTTTATATTAGGGGGTTGTTATGAGTTGATAGCACTGTTATTACGTTATTGGGGGGTTTATAGCATTGTTATTGTGTGATTAGGGGGTTCATAGCATAGTTTATATTACGGGGGTTATTAGGAGGTTATTAGGGGGTTGCTAACATTGCCATAGAAATATTAGGAGGCTATTGGTCTGATAAACCTTAAATTCGGATTCATTTAATGCATTTTTTGGATTTGACCTTGACCTAACTTTGACTCTGAGCCGATCAGGTCAAATAATAATCTTGATTTGACCTTGATCTGACATTGACCCCTGAGCTATGATTCGTGGATTCGGATTCAGCAACCCCACAAACATAAATGTCATGGTATTATCTTTTGCACATATGACTTTTTTCGTGGGGCTGTGATATTTATATTGTTGGTACTGTTGTTATAAAATCCCTAAAGTGGTGAACTTCATTCGATGATATCTCCGCGAAAAAAAAAGATTTGTCAAATTTGGAAAATGCGTTGCAAAGGACAGAAGCGGTACTTTAAGATGATCAGATTCGTTTTCAGCAAAAAAAATGCGGTGTAATATAGCCTCTAAAACAGCGAAAATACGTGTTTTTCTCACTTTTGGGTTAGAATATCTCGAAAACGTAACGCGATAGGGCATTTCTGATGCCAGATTCCTGTTCAGCGCATCAAAAACCTTCGGAATACGCGAATAGCGTTCTTGCGATAACTCAAAACTTTTTTTTTGCAGATCTGTGTAATTATATCCGGAATCATTGTAAACTTCATGTTCAAATATCTCGATAATTAAGTAATACTTCTTAATTCCTGAAAATGCAAAAATTGCCCTTGAGTTGATTTGAATTACCCAGTCAATTGCAATGACAATTAATAAATTTTTCATATGAATAATATTAAAAAACTATAGTTGCGCATGCGCAATCAAGTTAAGGATATCTCATCGGGTTTGATAATGCCACTATCATTACCTATAATAGAAAGTAACTAATCATCAAATATTTTTCTTTATTATATGTAAACGATTTTTAACTATTTTTTCCATTACAATAAAGGTCATCTTATTTTATTTGAAAATTATTACATAAGAGTTTCATTGGACATTGACTTATGAGGTTAATTAATGTTCTTATTTTATAGAATTAGAACAATTATAATTTAATCGCTACATATTTTGACATTGGTTTCTCTGATAAAAAATACCATCCAATATGATATGAAAAATAGCGGCGTTGTCAAATATTTCCGATACGATACAGACTTGATTTAATTGCGCATGCGCAATACGAGAATCGTATAAATGCTATAGCTATTTAATAATTGTCACATTAAATTGATGAATTGTCATTGCAATCGATTGAGCAAATTAAATCATCTTAAAGGCAATGTTTTGCATTTTCAGGAATTAAGAAGTATTACTTAATTATCGAGATATTGACGCTTGAAGTTTGCAGTGATATCGGATATAATTATTAATTTTTGTAAGTACAGTGAAAGTGGGAAAATAAAATAAATAATGCAGTTGAATTTGGCAATTAAAAAACTAAGGGTTTACACGTCTAAATATTTTTTTTTGCATTAATTTGCAGGCTGGATCGGGGGAGGTCAAGGAACGCCGATTAAACTGCAGTAATTTAGGGAATAATTTCTAAGTATCCGAGAAGATATTTTTGTACGGAAACACTATCAAGGCTGATGATTGGTTGGTTCTTTGCTACATTTGGTTAGTCCTGAATTTTGGACGATTTGTTGCTAACTTATCCCTAATTTGGTTTTGGGTTATTGCTTTACTTCTAATTTCTGAACTGTTAAAAATACCATGAATAGTACTCGACTTGAACTGCCAATGATCTAATTATAGTAACTGTAATCAAATCAGTTCCTTCAAGTATTTTAACTGCAATTTTCATTCAAGTATTTTAACTATAGTTCACCTGAATAGTTAGATTGGTTCTTGATTAATTGTTTGCAACTTGTTGATTTTAATATACCAATAAATAAAAAAAAAGCAGATACTTCAAATCGCCTGCAATATCAATGATTATTATTCATTATTTATAGACAAGCTAATATTGAACAAATGAAATTGATCTGACAAATGAATGAGCAATTAAAAATTAATTAATTAACATTTGTTTTCTTTACTTTCCCTATACCCGCTGCCCTCGTGTTAGTAGTTATTACTATGAGAACTAATCATTGACGGCTCATAAATTTAATGTGGATAATAAATACATAATAATTAATTACTATTTAAATAAAAAAGTTTGATTAAAGAACCATTTTATATCCGTAAGGAGCATTTGTGGAGCAATTTTTTATGTTTTGCTAATAAATAAGTAAAGACAACGAGACCTTAATTTTGAAACTATCAGACATAGTAAGACTTTAATGTGTCAGAAACATTCTGTGAGCATCCTTAAACCGGTTAAAAACATGGAAGCTAAATATTTTTTTATCCATTCTTTTATGAAATTGTGTACATTGTGTATAACAATTGTGTACATGTTAATTTTTCATAAGTGTCATAAATAAACTTAAATATATATTTTCATTGTATTTGTGCTTTATTCATGAATTTTTAACTAAAAGTACCATTTTCGCAAAAAAGAAATTATTCAATTCAGCTATTGTAAAAAATAAAATCAATTATTTTGTTTTTGTCATTTTGTGTTTGTTTGAAATATTGTTAATAATATATTTTATGATTATTTTATTACATAATTTTGTTTTGTTTGAAATCTAGAAATTGTTATATAGACTTATGAAATAAAGAAAGTGTTTTTATGGTATTTTTATGTATTTATTGAATGACTGACTATTAAATTAAATTTCATGTTGATAAAAAAATTTTAAGTTAAACTAAATTTAAACATGTGAATAAGTTACATAAATACTAAATTAAGCATGTGAATAAGTTACAAAGATAATAAGTTAAACAGTGATCAATTATAAATTTAAAAATGAATAAATAATTTTTAATAAATAAATAAATAATAAATAAATAATTTTTTAACACAAATTACAAACTAATGTGTAGGATCATCATCACAATAATATGAATCACTAAGATTATCACTGGAATCTGTCTCCTCTTCTATAAGAATCTCTTCATTTTTTCCAAGCCGCTCTTGCTTGTTGCCATAGTTGTTGTTGATATAGGCCCTTATTTGTACAATAGTTCTCTCTTCCAAACTTTTGCATTTTTTCACAATATCCTGTATATAAGCAGTACTAATTGTTAGTGGCAATCCATTTACCTTAATATGATCTGAAATTGTATTTTTTTCTGTTTTAGACCAACAGCGAATAACTAAAAGGAATGTATATGATTATTTTCTGTGATATTTTTAAAAATACTACTGCTAATAAATTGTATAGTAATTTATAGTAATGTTACCTCTTTTCTTGTTCTTTGGGGCATCATCAGACATTTCTGGATATGGTCGTTTTATTCCTATGGCTTTCTTTTCAGCTTTTTTTTTTGCTTTCTCAGCTACTTTTATTGACAGGAAACTTTTTCTAGGTAAAACTTTTTCAATGTTTTCTTCATTTTCACTCAATTGTGAGTTTATAGAATCTGGAATATATTTACAAGTACATATTTGAAAATTAGATAAATACCAATTTAATTAAAATTATTGAATGAAGTAATTTAAAGTTGTTACGTAATCTTTTAGCATGTTAGTTACAAAAGCAACATAAAGTTCACATGTAAGGGCAAATTATCAAACGCAACAAGAAGAAATAGAAATCCAAGGAACTGCTTATTCAAGAAATATACAAATATAAGAAATATACTAAAATATTAACAAATAATATACATTGTAACTTTTTTTTATTACTAAAATTTGGCTTGTATATTAGTTAAAAAGAGAATGAGTTATTTTTCAAATAATATTTACATAAATCTTGAAATTCAATAATTTTGTGTACTTAATTAATCAATTTAAAAATCAATAGTTATCTGAACAGTGACTTCTATAAAAACATAAGAAATAAAATTTAATATTAAGAAGATTTCTCTGAATATTTTATTGAAAATTAATTTATTGTAAAATGGCGTGATTTAACTATTAATAAATATATTGCAATGACAATATGATTTATTTTCAAAAGTTCATCATGAATATATCAGTTTAACTAAACTTATTATAATTAGCAACCTGTCATAATTATATTCAAGGGAAAAATTTATCCATTACCTTAAATGTCACTCTTAAAATATCTTTAAATTCATACCTATCTGAGGTGGTAACTAAGACTCAACACCAATATTTCATCAAGAACAATATCTTCTTATTTGATATCTGCTGCAGGAGGCTAGTAACAGTATTGTCAAAAATATAAAGCTTAAGACAATCACATAAAGCATTTAAGCATTTAGAAGCATGTTGTACAGTCAGGTTCAAGGTTTCAAGGAAATTAATTAAGGAGAACTATATATTGTTAGTACATAATTTTTACAGTTAAAATATCATTGTTAAATGCATATATATTTTTAAAATAATGAAGAAGAATCAAATTTGATTATTCTGTAAAACATGAAATCAAACTTAACACTGTGATAACAGATAATTATCAATGTAAATATACACACATAAATATATAAATAAATTTTATGTCCATACCTTCTGTGTCCTGACATGGATCATATGATACATCACTATTGTCTGTTTTGTTATTTGAGGTAGATGGACTTCTAACGTTCTCAATAGATTTTAATTCTTTACCTTGGGCTTTGTTTAACATGATAGGTAACGTTAACAGTTCACTCAAATGAACTTCTTGACGGTATATAGATTTATGGATATCATAACTATGGCCCAAAAAATTGGCCAACTGCATTAATTTTCCTTCTTCTAGTCTAAGTCCATGCATCATTGTGGCAATATGCTTACGTAAAGCAGTTCCACGAATTGTTTCACAATCCTCCACACCAGAAATATTAGCATAATGCCTCAAAACATCTGATAAAATTATATAGCCATGTCTCATGGTATTATTACGCCTTTTAGCAAAAACGTAGATATTCTTCTCATCTATACCAGCTTTAGTTCTATACTGCAGTAATAAATTTATGCTGTCCATTAAATTTTTATGAACTATAAGACCAACAGTACGTAACGCTTTTTTATTTGTTATTTTTAGCCTATAGTAGTCTTTAAGAGCTACTTTACAATCATCAGATAATTCAAGATAACGTGGATCGTTGCAATCATCAAGGATTTTAAAAGCTCCATTTATGTCATCTAATTCTAATCTTGACAGCTCTCCTTGGCGTTTCCTATTAAAAAGCATTAATAGCAAGGCTGTTGTGTTATTAAGTTCTTTCCATACAGTTATATCAAAACCGTTTTTCATATTATTAAAAGCATTTAGCCATGACTGTTCCACAAACTCGCAAAATTCTTTTATATTTTTTACGTTCGGCATTTTTTTGGGTGGAGCTTTTTTTTCTATTTTTAATTGCATATCTCGACTTTTCTTGTTTAATCTTTTACTCTTACTTTTGATTAATTTTTCAAATTTTATGGCATTTTCTCTTCGTGTCTCCCAAGCGTTTTCAATACAAAAAGGCAAATAAAATTCTAAGAATTTGTTGATAATATTACTAATATCTTTAGGTTTGTTAAATTTTTGGATCATACCAGATTCTTCATTCATTTCGGATAATTGATATATACTTTCTTGTAGTACTGGAACTACAGTGGGATGAATAATATCTTTGAATTCTGTAATATTTTTGACTATTTCCTTATGCACTGGGTTAGTATTGGATTGAACTGTCTGAAATAGAGTTGCTAATACACGAGCATGATGACTTATCATACTGTAATTTTGATCATGGCTGTAATGATCAACGCAGTCGTTAACATATTGCACAATTAATGCATCAGAGACTGCTACATCTCGTACTTCGCCCAAAATCATATTTGAAAATATAAGGTCACGTGCTCTTTTCGTTGCAAGAGGGTGCACATCAGGAATCAATCGTTGGCACATCGGTAGTAAATCTTTTGCATTAGGAGCTCTTACCACATTTTGTAAGTTGCATTTGTGCCTTTTCATTAAATTTCGCCTTATTACTTTGAAACAATCTTTGCATGGTACAAAATTTTCGCCAGTTAAATTTGGCAAATTTGTTTTATATGCTACTGGTAATTTAGTTTTTTCATCCATACCCATTTTACAATCAGTTATGTCTTCAGGCCACTTTAATTCACCTGACTCTAATTGCTTACATTTAATAATTCTATATTTATTAGGTCTTCGCCCCACAATCATTTCTTCATCATCTGTTTTCATGTAATAATTATAGTAATAATTTCCATAATTAATATGATATTCGACAGTACACTTAAAGACTGTCTTTCCCCTAGCTTTAGCTTCTTTAAACACTTCTTCTCCTGCATGAACTTTGGTCATATGTCGATGTATTTGATCAACAATTTTCTTTTTGCAAAAAATACAATAATGAAATTTTCCTGTACGTTTTTTATCAATGGTAGGTCTATTGACAAAAAAAATTTTATTCTGAGCTTGTGGAGTTCCAGGTTTGTTTAGATCAGAAACAGTCTTTTTTATATGAATTATATCCTCACTTGATAAAATAACTATTTGCTTGGCTGTAAAGAAAAATATCTATAATTATAATTTGACACTTTATATTACATACAAACTAAAGTATTGCACAAAAATTTTCCAGTAGAATGTTATTATATTTTTTTAAGTTGATAAAAATTATGAGTTGTTATTATAATGAAAATCCCAAAAAAATTTGTACATTGTCTAAAATAAACAATTTCAATTAAGAAAATACTTGCATTTGGTTTTTGATTTTCCAGTAGATGTTGATTTTTGTTCATTCTCAGTTTTATTTGTTAAGTTTTGATTACAATCTCGTTTTTGATTAATAAGATCCTCTTCTATTTGAGTGGTATTTTTCTTTGCAAGATCTATTTCTCCTGTTATCAATTCAACTGAATGTTGATTATTAAAATTCAAGATTTCATTCGTATCAAAATTTAAATCTTCACTTCTATCCATTATATCATTTTGTGATTTTCCATTCTCACCTGGTCTCCAATCTAACATATTTTCACTGTATGAAATCTCTTCGGCATTAAAATCAGTAAACACTTCAAAGTGTTTAAAAACATCTTCACATTCAATAGAAGTAGCTTCCATGTGAGGCAAAAGTATACCTTGATCTATTTGACTTTTACATGAAGTAGGAGAACTACTATTAATTGTTCTATTTGATGAGTGTGTGATATTCAATTTTCTAAAAATGTCATCATTTTTTGAGGACAAAATTGAAGAATTTTCGTCTTCTTCAACATATCTTTTATCACTTAATTGTAAATTCTTATTTTGGCTATCGTTTAATTCCTTATGAATTATATTTTCTTTATTGAGGCTAATAATAGAAGTAGAGAGCATAGTGCTTTTCAGAGAAGCATTTAATTCTATCTCAACTTGTGGTAAATTAGCATTTAAGTTTTCTGCTATACTAGAAAAAATAGATTTATTTTCTGCAACAAGACATTTATAAACGAATTAAATATATTTAAGAATGCTTAACAAATATATAAAAGTAGGTATAAACAGTGCAAAATAAGGACGATAGAAATATTCAATTATACCATTAAATCCAATGATCTCGCAGTCAGTAGGACGTTTTGCATTCTTCAATTTAAATGATCCCCAGCCAGGCCGCTTGATCTTTACAAACTTTGCTGCTATAGCAAAGAAGCGTCCACTTTTCAGCTTTATAAGAGCAGCTTTCGTTGAACTCATTTTCATTAAATCCAATTCCAAAATAACTGTTCTGTAAAAATGATAAAAAAAATAATATAAAGATATCATAAGATAAAGAATTAAATATTAAATTTGAATAAAAGGTTATGTGTGTGATTATGCCCCAATAAAATGCTTTTAATAAATAAAAGATGTGTGATTTAAAATAATGTAAATAGTAGCACTATATTTTTGATAATAATTGAGCCTATAATTAGGCTTATACAATGATGGAATCGGATAATATAATATAATATATAAATACGGCATAAATATAGATAATATTATGGAGATTATCATATCTGTGATACTTACCTTAATATTCAGAATACTTAAAATTCAAAATATAACGTTTATAGATAAAGTTTTATTCACAGAACTATAAAATAATTTTTTAGCCCAAATTTACGATGCTCTTCCACTACATTATCTTATTTCTTATTAAATATAAAAAAGCAAAAGACGCCAACGTGATAGATTAATCTAGATTGCCATACAAATTAAGGCATTAGCAAATAAAATAATATAAGAAACATGTATTTATATAAAAGAATTTAAGTGATTGCGCACTATGTTAAATAGAAAATACAATCGTAAAAATACTCGTATATATATATTCTTGATTATACATTTTGTATAATTAATTTATGAATTTCTATAAAAATTCTCGTTCCAACACTTATTCAGACATGTAATCATAGGTATCGATCCACGTTTCTTGATACTTATTCGGACTGTCTTCATAAGTGCCTAATTATGAAGTGAATAACGTAAAACTTATGTAGTCGTCGTCTTAAGTGACAAAATGTAAGCATAAGTACCGATCAAAATTGCATTTGTTAACATAAGTGCCTATTAACATATATATATTTATATATATTTATATATATATATATATATCAAATTATTTCATTAACATTTTTGGAGTGTTACCCAAACATTCTCAAAATCTTTCACGTAAAAATGTGTGTTATATTTCTGCAAGGTTTTAGCAGAGTTTCTACAATAGGTTTTCTTTAAAGTTCTTTTTCAAAAATATTATTTCGTAGGAACGTAACGAAAAGTTTGTAAAATATTTTAATATATTATTTCCGAGAATATTTGAAAATATTTTGAAGACCGTAATTTAAAAGGTTACTGGTAATTGTAAAAATTTCAACTGGAATATTACACACGCCGCTTCTGGAATAGAAAATGATTCCTGGTATTTTACTGTCAAAATTGCCATGCGTTGTTATGGAATATGATTCGGAAAGTTATTGCAAAGTTTTATAAATGGTTTTCCTGTGGTTCTTTTCATAAAAATAATATATAGTTGAATCTTTGAAAAAAGTATCTAAAATATTTTAATGAAATTTATTTAGAATATTTGGAAAATATTTTGAGAAAATGTATCTTAAAAAGGTATTGGAATATTTCTGAAAAATTGATATTTCTAGAAATATTTATGAAAAGTTGTAAGAAATGGTATTTGAAAAGTATTTATTAACGACACAAAAAATATTTTAATAAAAGGTTTCTACAATGTTTCTAAAATATTCCAGAAATATTTCTGAATAGTTTAAAAAAATATCATGTGGAAAATTGCGGCACGACTTCATAATGATTTCTCGGAAATATTACAGTCATTATTTCGCAAATATTTTGGCAAGAATTCTAGAAATATTGCTAGCAACTTCCTTGAACGCTTTTCTGAAATATTTCTTGCAATGTTTCTGCAAGTTTCCTGAGAGGTTCCTCAGAAATATTTATCAACTTGGCAAAAATATTTTAGTGAAAGGTTTTTGCAATGTTTCTGAAGTGTTCCAGAGATATTTTTCCAGAAATATTTCTAAAAGGCTTCAAGAAATTTTACCTGGAAAATTCTGGCACCACTTCAGAAACGTTTCTCGGAAATATTTCAGCCATTATTTCGCAAATATTTTGGCAAAGTTTCTAGAAATATTGCAAGCAGCTTCCTTGAACGCTTTTCTGAAATATTTCTTGCAATGTTTCTGCAAGTTTCCTGAAAGGTTTCTGAGAAATATTTCTAAATACGACAAATAATATTTCAGTGAAAAGTATCTACAATGTTTCAGACATGTTTCACTAAATATTTCACTGAAATATTTTGAATAACTATTTGAAACCTTCCTGCTATATTTCTACCAGGTTTCTCTGAAATATTTCATCGAATTTTTCAATGAAATATTGCATGCTGTGTGGGTGGATGATGTGGCACTAATGCTCTATTACCAATTTCAGAAGTATGTAACCTTGCGATCGAATATTGATGTGACAAACCTTTTGACTAGGCTTGGAAAGTTTTATGACGATAATAATAAATTAGGGAGATTTGCCTTTCCTGATTTTTATTTTTCGAGGTAAAATATTTGACTGATGTCAGCTATGCGGTTGTATTGATTCATATATTTTCGTCAGTTGAAAAATATAATGAGAAATTTACCTTTGTAATCACGTATAGATTCAATTAAAGGATGTCAGATAGTGTCGAGAAGAAATTGGAGGCCGTAATCCGCGTGTATGGCGATGAGAGTAACGCAGTGAAATTTATCGATCTTGCATTGATCAACGAGTTTGAGACAGTCGAAATATTTGATTTTACGATCCCACACACTATTTACCAACTTCAAAATGGTAAAAAAATTGAAGTACCTGTCCAAGTATTCCAAATATCAGGTTAAATTCTTTTTTGTTATCATTACAAACAACTTAATGACTTATTTGTATTTACACTGTATACTCGAATTAAATTTTTTTCTTCTATGCAAACTATCTGGTAGATGATCGAGAGGAACTTGAGAATCCATCAAAAAGAAGAGCCTTCAATAAAAAAAGAGCAAGCGATGTATGGTCCGACATTTTGGCAGCTAGAGAGAAAGCAGAGAAGAGCAAGAAAAATAAATCTGGCAAAAAGGCTGATAAGGTTGATGATGAATCGGTAAATATTGTGACTAAGGAAACATCTAAAGCTCAAGAATTAAAAGCTATCGAGGAGGTATTTATTATTTATAAAAGAACTTACCTGTTAATTCTCTTTCAATTTTATTTATTGCACTTTTTTGAAGAAGAAATCAATGACAAAATTTTACGGAAGCTAATTAAGTAGCCGGCTACGAGTAATAATCCAAAGTGCTTCGCACGGCGGTAACACGGCACCCATATATGAACCGTAATCGTCGAGGTCTCCGCGGAGATAAGGTGAAAAAAGACATATGGCACTGTAGTTTTCTCTCTCAGTATTTGGGTTGGCAGTACTTAATATCACCAATATACAGCTAACAATCTTTATGTAATTAATTCAAATTAATCATGTTAAAATGCTATAAACCAATTGTATATCAACTTTAAAAGAAACAGTTGATGAAAATCATTGGCTCATGCTGCAATTGCACTTCTAGTCACAAAAAAATCTTCTCTCTATTATTACATAATGTAGCATTTACTGTGATGCAAGAATTGTTGTACGAGTCGAGATAAATTATCGACCACCGAACATTAGTGCGTTCGTAAACAAGAGCGAGAATACTGTAAATATCCGAGGTCTTAATACATGTGATATAATCATATTTAATCATAGCTCTATAGTGACGATAATAAATACTGCTAACCCAAATTCTCAGAGAAAAAAATACTGTGCGATATGTGTTTTTCACCCTATCTCAAAGTATCTTTTTTCGACGACTAATTCGAGATGTCAGTTTTTCAAAATTCAATACGACGTATACCTTTTTTTATCAAACATTCGAGGTGGCTCATTTTCTATTACTCTTAGAAATTGTTTTCTTTTTATTTCATTCGATTCGAGGTGTCTGATTGTTCCAATGAAGTTTTGAAACATTTTAAGAAATGAGTGATCGTTTTCGCATGTCAAAATAACCTGGAAATTACCAATTATATATACGTGTAATATTTTATAATTGTTTTTAGAAAGTGAAAGAAAATGCCAAGAAGTTTGCAAAAGAGATGGATGCTGCCATACTAGAAGAAAAACTGAAAAATCTGAGCGAGCAGAAATTGATTTACCAAGATGATAGCTGAGTTGTACAAGAACAACAAAAATTGATATACGACTTGCAGGCAAAACAAGATGCTACATTTGAGTTGCTTAAAGAGATGCAATCAAAACATGAAAAAGAAAATGAATCCTTGAAAGCTAATCTCGCCAAAAGTCATGAATTGCTAAAAAAATCAAAGGAAATTATTCAAATGTACAGAGAGGGATCAAGTACCAATGAAGAACCTTCAGATTTAAATCTAGTGAAGCCTTCAGGTTCGAGTGTTGCTGATATTGGAGAAGGATTGAGCAAGAATAATAATTTTTCCAGTCGACACAGTGTCGGTAACAAAATCGATATTTTTTTGAAAATTTATAAAATGTTAAATGAATTACTAATGAGATCCGAATATTTTTTAAAATCATTATAATATTTCTTCAAGCATTGAAGCCAACAATACAGAGTCTTGCCGAAATTGATAACTTCTCATGTGAGAGTGTTAATGAAATCGGAGGTAAATATCGTTTATATACAAATCTATTGAATATTTCTCCAACAGATATGTTTTTTAAAAATTATACTATATTTTCTTATTTTAAAGTTTCATTTGATTCACTACGAGCTCACAATTCTAGTGCAACACGCAAGAAAACATCTGATTTAATGGAGCCGAGTACTTCGAAATCATATAGCTTTCCAAACATTGACAGCGAAATCATGGAAATATCTTCTTTTAGAAATCAAGAGCAAGAAAACATACTCATGAATCATGATAAATGTGTTTATAACATGAAATTTCCTTAACTTCTAATAAATAACTATTTATTGCGAATAATGATGTATATTCTTGGTTTTCTTTTAGGCCTTCTTGACAAATCAAGAAAACAATCTCTCCAAGATTTCTCTGGTAATTCCGACGATAATTACGTATTGTGTTGACAATTTAGTTTTAATAAATTTCAAATTTAACCTATGTAATTATTGCAGAAAAAAGTAGTTAAAGTGAAGAAGAAGTAGAAAATAGTGATTCGGATAATTATTCTGCTAAGACTGGTAAACGATGAAAAAATAAGTTAATCATGGTTAATCTCATTTAATAATAATAGGCACAAATGGATAATAATACTGTATTTGAAAATTCTCAGGAGCTAAAAGAAAGAAGTACTATGGATCGTACATAGGTACAAAAAAGTATAAGGACATGCACAGCTCTTCTGAATCTGATTCAGAAAGCGAAGGAAAAGGTAAAAAAAAGGGAAAAAAAAATTTACTAGGAGCAGTGACGATGAGTATCTGTCGGATAATTTATTTAATCCTGAAGGCCTGGAAAATTACAAAGCTTGGACAGATACGACAGGGAAACAAGAAGTAAGATTATCGTTTTATGCATTGAATTAATTACTTCATTGTGTTTGTTACTTCGATAGCTGTATTATTATCTCTTTTTTCATTAATAGAAAGACATGTTTCAT